ATGGTAGAGGGATTAGATCGGATTTCGCAGAGACTCCCTGTTACATTAAACACAGTCACGCTGTCAGGTGAAGCCCCGTCTTGGGTACGAGGCAAAACGCAGTACTTGAGCTGGAACTTTATTGCCCTATGTAACCGGTACACGTACTGGTACAATGGAATTCTTACTTACAGAAAGTCTCTCCATTGTTAAAACACAAAGTGCAGACAGTGCATCAAGACAACATACAAACAAACAGTAGACAATGTACAAGTAAACAAGTAAACAGTTAGAATGTAAACAATGCAGGCATGTAAACAGTGACTGCAGATGTGCAAAAACAAAATTACAACGAGGTAGATGGTGTAGGTGTGGTCCGAGGGACAGGGCCAAATGTGTTTCCCAATCGCAGGCCTTGTGGGTAGAAGCTATTGAAGAATCTAGTGGTAAGTGTGCGTATGCTGTTGTATCTCTTGCCTGAGGGCAGTGGGGTGAAGGGCTCATGCCCGGGGTGGTGACAGTATTCTCCAGCAGGACAGTGGATGTGACCTCCTTCTTGCACTAAACAAATAAGCTCCAATGTCATTCTGCACCGCAATGCTGTTAATTGATCGAAGACCCCACCTTTGGCTCCTGAGCCTTTGGCTGTACGAAGCCAGGAGCAGTGTCATCTACACAGAGCCAATTTCTGGGGAGTAGTCAGGAGGTGTGAAGTTCCATCTGTTACAGTCCTCGGCCCTCTGAATTCAGATTTTGGCAATCCATCAGATATGGGCTTAAGAAGCTCATGCCTAAGTAATGTTTTACATCTGAAGAAGCAGAACAGTGACCACAGGATGCTGGGTGACTCAGTTGTTAAAGTCTAGGGGCTTCTTACCTCGCTGCACAATGAAACCTCAGCCCAAAGTAAAAAAGTCAAATCTAAACTAAGAACCGTTGATATATAATATAGAAGGCGATAGTAGTTCAAGTTGGGAGCTGCGTCAGCATGCGTAGGCTGCAAAGGAACAAGTAAAGGTTTATTCCTGTGCTGAAAAGAGAAGAAAGGAAACACGACGTTTCGGTTGTGGAGCCTTCTTCGGGTGTGAAGAAGGCTCCACAGCTGAAACGTCGTTTCCTTTCTTCTCTTCCCAGCCTAGAAGGCGATATACAGACTGCAAGTGGAATGGAGCGGTGGCTCTGTGGCTCAGGATCTGCGCCTGTGGCTGGAAGGTTGCAGGTTCAAATCCCGCAGCCGGCAGAGGAATCCTACTCCGTTGGGCCCCTGAGCAAGGCCCTTAACCCCAACTGCTCCAGGGGCGCTGTATAAATGGCTGTGTCTCATGGAGAGCAAGCTGGGGTATGTGCAAAGACAAATTCCTAATGCAAGAAATTGTATAGGGCCAATAAAATTATTACATTATTAGTTAAAGGAGAGCTTTCCAGTTAGTTACAGCGAAGGTGCTGAATGGGCGTCGGTAACGTTACCAGCCCATCCAGGAATCACCTATAAAAGACTGAACAGGAGCTGCTTGTCCAGGAGTCTCATTCCTGACATTCAAGATGGTACATCTCACTCTGCAGGCAGACGATCGTGGCCTTGCAGAGCTACAGCAGCTCCACGGGGAAGGGCGAACAGAGGACTGTCGAGCAGCAGAGCGCTCTCCCAGACTCCCCGAGAGTCTGCAGGCTGGCGGTGCCGGCCCGGGATGGGGGGTGCCCCCTCTTCTGATCAGCGCAGGTGAGGAATGGGGCGCCACGCGGGCGGGACACAGGAGCTGGCACCCATGGGTGCATGGGGCACAGGGGGGGCGCCGGCGAGCCTGGAAGATGCGACGGGCGATTCCACGTTGGAATGGGGGAAAAGAAAAAACGAAAGCAAAGAAAACTGTTTCCCGGAAAGAAAAACAGGAAATGGAAAAGTGCCAAATTCAATTTTGTTGAACATGAATTACAAAAATAAAGAAATGGGGAAAAGAGGGGATGTTTCGTTTGCACATCCTTGCAGTAATGGGCAGCACCCACCCTCCTCTTCGCTGGGTCTTGTGGACTCAATCAAGGTGCATTTTGAACCCCATTAAGATGCGCCCCCAGACGCAACTATTTGTAAACATTTGTGCTTTCTTTTTTACCCACACGTGTCAATAAAATGCTAATCCTGCAAGTAATTCAGCCTGTGTTTTGTTTGGGTTCTAATTTCATTGCTGTCGGAAAATTGCACATAATTACAGGCTGTATATGCTAATGTGCCTTTCTCCTTCCTACACCCCCACCCCACCTCCATCTCCCCTCCCCCAGCTGCTGTGTGCTGAGCGTCTCCTCACACTGCACAGAGGGCTCGCCTGGGGGAGAACACACACGCGCACACCAACACACACACAGGCACACGCCAACTCACACAACAACACACACACAGGCACACGCCAACTCACACACAGGCACACACACCAGCACACTCCAACACACACCAACAAACACACCGGCACACACACAACACACACACCGGCACACTCCAACACACACCAACAAACACACCGGCACACACACAACACACACACAGGCACACTCGAACTCACACACCAACACACACACAGGCACACCAACACACGCACATACATACACCAACACACAGGCACACACCAACGCGTACACACACATAGACACACAGGCATGCACATCAACACATGTAGCCAAACAACAACATAAGCAGACACACTCATAAACACAGGCACGCGCATGAGCACACACAGACATACACATACACAGAGGCACACCAACACACACACACATCCACACACCACACACACCAATCACATACACTCAGACCGACACACACAGGCACATAGACACACATACACATTTACACACATACCCATGAACACAAGCACACACATCAAACACAGACATACACAAACGCACACACATGCATGCACACACACCAATACACTCTCACCAATATACGTGCACACACATACACCAGCGCCCACACACACAGCCTCTGCTGTTTGAACCCTGTGGCTGGGAGCTTCATCACAGAAGCCCATTCTGAGGCCTTGCCGAGATCAAGCCAGAGGAACTGTGAGAACAGGGCTGGATCTGGCCAGTCAGGAGCTGCAGGTTGAGACCCAGACGGGTCGCCAGGTTTGGCTTGACCCAGAGCACAATAAAAAAATAATTGCTTACACTTACATAGTGCTATCCTGGACACTCCACTCAAAGCGCTTTACAGGTCATGGGGATCCCCTCCACCACCACCAGTGTGTACCCCCACCTGGATGATGCTCCAGCAGCCATAGTGCACCAGTCCACTCCCCACACCCCAGCTCTCAGTGGGGAGGAGAGCAGAGTGATGAAGCCAGTTCAGAGATGGGGATTATTAGGAGGCCATGACTGGTAAAGGCCAGGGGGAAACTTGGCCAGGACACCGGGGTAACACCCCTACTCTTTTCACTCTGGGATTTTTAATGACCACAGAGAATCAGGACCTCGGTTTTACGTCTCATCCGAAGGACGGCAGATTTTCTTTTTTTACAGTATAGTGTCCCTGTCACTATACTGGGGCATTAGGACAAACAGAGACTGCAGGGTGAGCGCCCCCTACTGGCCCCACTAACACCTCTTCCAGCGTCATTTCTCTCTCTCCTGCCATCCCAGCCTGCTGCCCGATTTTCCATCTGGAAAAAGAAAAAAGAGGATGACGAGTCACGGACAGGCCGGATGAGGTCGGCTTGTTTCAGCATCTCCACACTGTCCCACTCTCTCCTGACCACGCCTCGCTGGACTCCCCTGATCTCTCCCTCTCTCCCTCCGCCGCAGCTCCAATGGCGCGAGGGCGTGCGCAGAGCAGCAGGGGGCGGCGTTGGGCTGGTTCCTGGGCTCTGAGTGGCTGAACTCCACCCAGCCGGACCAGGCATTGCCCAGCAGTACTGGGGTTTAGTCTGGAAACCCTGCACAGGTTGAACACTGGCTGTGCCAGGCTTAGTCCAGGCAGCCTTCCACTCCTCACCAAAGTTAGCAATGAGAGCCAGCTGGATTGCCAAGAGCTACAGTCATTGATCCCAGGATCATTCCCAGATGCTTCTTGAAAGGCGCCAGGATCTCTGCTTCAGCAGCGTGGCTGTGCTGCTCGTTCCACACTCCCACAACCTTTGGTGTAAAGACGTGCCTCCTGCTCATGGGTTTAAATGCACTGACGCATAGTCTCCACTGGTGTCCTCTGGTTCCTTGGTTCCAATTCCCGCGTGGGACACTGTTGTCGTGCCCTTGAGGAAGGATCCGATAATATCTGAGATGACCTGAGTTAGTGCCCTCCTGTACAAAGCGCTGTTCTACTGGTTGTCCTTCTAAAAGAGAATTAGATCTTAATGTAACGTTTATACATCGATGTTACAAACACGATTGCTGGACATGGGTGAGAACAGGCAGGCCAGCTAGAAGCACAGGCAATAGGATGACTGAATACTGTAAGGAAAAAAGAACTCAGTTTCTGACACAGAGCTCGACTGGAGCACAGGGCAGGCGATAGAGAGGTGCTGAAACAGGAAGAAGAATCACCAACGACAGCAGGACTGTTCCCTGTCAGTGACTCACAAGGCATCCTGCCCTCAGCAAGTCCCACCTGGTCAAGTAAAGGAGGCTGATTCGATTGACCAGGAACTCCCCGAGTACAAGCATGGACGCAAGTACACACAATCACGCCATCGCGTGCGTACACGCGCCACACTCTCACTCTCACACACACACACACTCACACACACACACTCACACTCACACTCTCACACATACACTCTCACACTCACACTCACACTCTCACACACACACACTCACACACACACACTCACACATTCACACACTTGCACACACACTCTCACACACACACTCACACACACACACTCACACATTCACACACTTGCACACACACTCTCACACACACACTGACACACACACTCGCGCACACACACTCGCACACACACACACTCACACACACACATACTCGCACACACTCACACACACACACTCACACACACATACTTGCACACACTCACACACACACACTCACACACACTCACACATTCACACACACACTCACACACACACAAAGCTCACAAAGCAAAACCCCCAGCTGCCCAGACCGGAACAAGACAGGGAGAAAAGGGAATAAAAAAACCAGGAGGTAGGATACAGGAGCACAGCCCGTGAATTCCAGAGACACGTCATCACTGCCCTGGACAGCCTGATCTCTTCAGACTCCCCGAACTTGGCCTGGTGCGCATTCCCAGAGTTGGGAAGCACCTGCCCCCAGGTGTGAAGCCCCCTTTACTTCTCCACACCTGCAATAGGCAGGAAGATGGCTTTGCAAAAGTGCTTCAGTGCTTCGGGTTTGGGTCCCTGCTGTCCTGTTCTCACCTGTTCTTTCTGACTCTGAACCAGGACACCCCCAGCCGCAGGTCCACTGCTGTCACTGATCACAGGATCGCTGGCAGGTACACTCTGACCCCCACACCTGTATTAGGAGAGGTGAAAAATTAAATGAGCGGTTTTTTTTTGTCTTTTAGAATTGCTCGTTTTTTTTTTTAATCTTCTGATTTCCTGGGGTGACCCTCCCACTCAGACAGAAAGAGATAGCTGTCTGAAACAGACACACCTGTCTGCTGAGAAACCCACAGGTTTGGATATAATGTCTGCATTATATTATATGGCTGTCTGGGGTTCCTCTGGATGTTTCAGTTTCATCCCACGTTCCTCAGACTAAAAGTCGGCTAGGTTTATTGATGTCTAAATTATGTGTGTCTGTGTGTCTGGCAGTGGAATTGCATCCGATGCAGTGTGTGTACCTTAAGATGGACTGCCATCCTATCCAGTGTGTGCCCTGTCATGAACTGGTGTCCCATCTAGCTTGTGTTATCTGTCACTGCCTGGCATCCTATCCAGCGTAAGTGCCCTGCCACGGACTGGCGTCCTGTCTACCGTGTGTGCCCTGCCACGGACTGGCGTCCTGTCCAGCGTGTGTAACCTGCCACTCACTGGCGTCCTGTCCAGCGTTTGTGCCCTGCCACTCACTGGCGTCCTGTCCAGCGTGTGTGCCCTGCCACGGACTGGCGTCCTACCCACAGCGTGTGCCCTGCCACAGACTGGCGTCCTATCTAGTGTGTGGTCCTGTGCTGCACCCAGTGTTTTCCAGGAATCTTATTCTTTATGTTAAGGAATGGTATACACACACACGTGCATATCAGACACAAGCCAGAGTCCAGCACGTGTTACAGGTACATCTTTCTGTGATTACTTTCATTTAACCGTTAAAAACAGCTGATCTGAATTCTCCGCCACATGAATAGATCAGTAAATACCTGAAATCTGAGTTGGAATATTCTGTACATCACCCCTTGTGGACCGGAGTGGCCCACCCCGGATGTATGTGAATATATATTTCAGGTTGATGAGTGTTATCGATTTACCCCCGCTGTAAACCAGCAAAGCCAGCAGCACCGACTCTCGGACACTTGTG